AAAACTAGTGTCCCTGTTGCTCGAATTCAAGCAATTGCTAAAAAAACGAATAACAGTCATAATTTTTGATGACTTTAAAAAATTTGACTCAAAGATTATGGAAATACTGAAGATGTACTTAACAGATCGATATAATCAACATTCTTCAATAATTTTTCAAAAGCTGGTCTTGTTTTTTAGTGTTTTATACGAATATCCTTACCCATAGCTGTATTAGGTTGTCCATAATAACGATTATAGATTAAAAAAAAACATCATTTCTAGTTTTCTTTTTAGAAAACTGTTAAATTAGTAAACATTGACTGTTTACAGTTAACATATGTTCTTCTTCTCACTTTTAATTTGTGACCACAGCTGGAGTTTCAAAACGTTTTTTCCCCATGTTAATCTTATGGAGAAATACAAAATATTAAAGGGCCCCAGGGCCTCACTCTCTAATTATTTCCCTAAAAAGAAAGTTTCCTGCATAACTTCACGTTACGCTCTTTCTAATGACACCAAAAACATGTCAATCGGTTTAGTAGTTTCGGAGGAGTAATTGTCACAAAAAACCTGCTTGTGTATTAAATAAGTACGAGAGCTCGCCCCGTGGTCGAAAAATCTACCAATAGTATGTATTTTAAAAACTTCTCTATTTACACCCCAAGTTGTAAACATTTGATTTGAATTTCTTACATTTGTTTTGATTTTCTGTTTATATTTTGTTGTTATTTCGTCACCAACATAGCAACCCATAAGGCCCTTGTCAATTTTTTTTTAATTTCAAATTCATTTTCTGTGCTAATTTGTTAGCCTATTTTAATTTATAAAGGGATTCTGCACATCTACAGGAAAATATCTTTCATTTGGTACCGACCATGTGTAATTAGGTCCAGTAGTATGGTAAGGTTAGCTGTCATAAGTTTTGCAAAAGTTTTTTAGTATATAAGATAGATTTGTTATGTAGCCACTAATCCACAATACACACCACTCAATTTTACTTTCTCCCCCTATACCATAGTATATGGAGAAAGTATTGTTTTCGTCAAAATTTTCGAGTTTGAGTTTTGAGTGGATATATTCGTTTTGGGTCCCCCTGGACCCAAAAAAGTGGTTTTCGAAGTGATGTCTGTGTGTGTGTGTGTGTCTGTGTGTGTGTGTGTCTGGATGTGTACAGAGCTAGAGACTACACCTGTGGTCCGATTTCGATGAAATTTGGTATGTAGGTTCTAATCCATGGCATCTCCAGGCGTTTTTTTCATTTTTTTGAAATTTTGATTTTTAATGGGGATTTCCCCATAAAAACCCATAAAAAACTGGAAAAATTGAATTTTCTCAAAAATGGCTCGAACGATTTTGATAAGAATTTAGTATGTTGTAGCCCTTTAAATTCTGAACAAAATGGTACAAATCCCATTTCTGTAAAAATTACGGTTCATAAGTTATAGTAAATTATGTTATTTTCCCATAAAAACCCCATAAAATAACAAAAAATGGAATTTTAGACAAAAATCCGGTTTTGATTTAACATAGTATGTTATAGTTCTTACAATTTTGAAAGTTTTTTTTATTTTTTAGAAATTTTGATTTTTAATGGAGATTTTCCCATAAAACCCCATAAAATAACGGAAAAATAGGATTTTCCCTAAAATGGTTCGAACGATTTTGATAAAAATTTAGTATGTTATAGTCCTTTATATTCTGAACAAAATGGTACAAATCTTATCTCTGTAAAAATTACGGTTCAAAAGTTATTGTAAATTATGTTATTTTCCCATAAAAACCCCATAAAATAACGGTAAATAAGATTTTCCTAAAATTGGCTCAAACGATTTTGATAAAAATTTAGTATGTTATAGTCCTTTAAATTCTGAAGAAAATTGTACAAATTCCATTTCCGTTTATTTAATCTCACCGCTTACGCATGATAAAGGTTGTTGACAAACTTATGGGAGAAAGTATGTGTCAGAATGCTGATACCGTTTATTTTTTCATGTTTTGAAATTTTGATTTTCAATTGTGATTTTCTCATAAAAAACATACGATACAATAACAGAAATTTTACAAAAATGGTTCAAACTATTTTGATTAAAATTATGTACATTATGGTAATTTTTTAAAAACCATATGATATAACCTCAAACGCAGTAAAAATTATTATTATATAATTTCAAACATTTAGCAATTCTTGTAATTTTATCTACAAATTTCATAGTTACCCCCACACCTTACGTATAAGGGTTGTTGACAAGCTAACAAGAGAAAGTAGGTGCCAGTTTACTGGTACAGTTTGTTTGACTTAAAAAACATGTTCAGACCTGAACAAGGGAATTATAAAATTAAATTACGTTGCATTTTGAGGCGACGTCCACTTCCCCCTTATGAAAAGACGATTTTGTATGTATATTCGGACAAGTCTTAAAAGTGCTATGGACGATTAAGTGGGATGACAGCGACATGTGATGAACGTGTGAAGGTGGAAATCGTGGGCTGGCAGCGTCATCTCTGTAGAGCTCGTCACTCTGCTTTGTACTTCCATAAACTAGCGGGACGGGATTTTGACTTACAATTCCAAAATTAATTAATTAATAAATTTGACGAGTTTGCGTTTTTATAACATAGTTTCTTTATGACATAAACATATGTCTATTATCTCAAAGCTATGCCATAGCAGTTCAAGAGGTATTTTTTATGGAAATAATACATACTGGAATAAAATAAAGCATTTTAAACCTATATTTATATAACGTTTGTTTATTTTATTTTCTTAACCTAAGACGCAATATTTCCAATCCAGGGAGTTTGTATACACCCAGTATACAACAGGACAGATATAAGTGAATAAGTGTCACCTACTTAAACGTTACTAGAAGATCTTCGTCCAGGACTATCTCAGAAGTTTGAGGATTTTAGGCAAATCGCTTTAATGGTTTTATAGTGAAATTCTGTTTAGATTTGTTAAGAATATACGTTGAATCGGCGTTAATTCATTACTCGCCTCCCGCTCCAAATTCTTGGGTCGCTAGCGGCACGGTAGAAAATTGGTGGGTCGCATCCGGCACGGGTCGCTTCTGACACGGTCGCTTCTGGCACGACACCATCGAACATGAGTCGGTTTGTGTGTGTGTCTACAGAGCAGCACACAACACCAGTGGCTATTTTTATAAAACTAGTGTCCCTGTTGCTCGAATTCGAGCAATTGCTAAAAAAAAAGGAATAACAGTCATAACTTTTGATGACTTTAAAAGATTTGACTCAAAGATTATGGAAATACTGAAGATGTACTTAACAGATCGATATAATCAACATTCTTCAATAATTTTTCAAAAGCTGGTCTTGTTTTTTAGTGTTTTATATGGATATCCTTACCCATAGCTGTATTAGGTTGTCCATAATAACGATTATAGATTAAAAAAAAAACATCATTTCTAGTTTTCTTTTTTGAAAACTGTTAAATTAGTAAACATTGACTGTTTACAGTTAACATATGTTCTTCTTCTCACTTTTAATTTGTGACCACAGCTGGAGTTTCAAAACGTTTTTTCCCCATGTTAATCTTATGGAGAAATACAAAATATTAAAGGGCCCCAGGGCCTCACTCTCTAATTATTTCCCTAAAAAGAAAGTTTCCTGCATAACTTCACGTTACGCTCTTTCTAATGACACCAAAAACATGTCAATCGGTTTAGTAGTTTCGGAGGAGTAATTGTCACAAAAAACCTGCTTGCGTATTAAATAAGTACGAGAGCTCGCCCCGTGGTCGAAAAATCTACCAATAGTATGTATTTTAAAAACTTCTCTATTTACACCCCAAGTTGTAAATAAAACATTTTATTTGAATGTCTTACATTTGTTTTGATTTTCTGTTTATATTTTGTTGTTATTTCGTCACCAACATAGCAACCCATAAGGCCCTTGTCAATTTTTTTTTTAAATTTCAAATTCATTTTCTGTGCTAATTTTTTAGCCTATTTTAATTTATAAAGGGATTCTGCACATCTACAGGAAAATATCTTTCATTTGGTACCGACCATGTGTAATTAGGTCCAGTAGTATGGTAAGGTTAGCTGTCATAAGTTTTGCAAAAGTTTTTAAGTATATAAGATAGATTTGTTATGTAGCCACTAATCCACAATACACACCACTCAATTTTTTTTCATGTTTTGAAATTTTGATTTTCAATTGTGATTTTCTCATAAAAACATACGATACAATAACGGAAATTTTACAAAAAACGGTTCTAACTATTTTAATTAAAATTATGTACGTTATGGTAATATTTTAAAAACAATATGTTATAACCTCAAACACTGTAAAAATTATTATTATATAATTTCAAACATTTAGCAATTCTTGTAATTTTATCTACAAATTTCATAGTTACCCCCACACCTTACGTATAAGGGTTGTTGACAAGCTAACGAGAGAAAGTAGGTGCCAGTTTACTGGTACAGTTTGTTTGACTTAAAAAACATGTTCAGACCTGAACAAGGGAATTATAAAATTAAATTACGTTGCATTTTGAGGCGACGTCCACTTCCCCCTTATGAAAAGACGATTTTGTATGTATATTCGGACAAGTCTTAAAAGTGCTATGGACGATTAAGTGGGATGACAGCGACATGTGATGAACGTGTGAAGGTGGAAATCGTGGGCTGGCAGCGTCATCTCTGTAGAGCTCGTCACTCTGCTTTGTACTTCCATAAACTAGCGGGACGGGATTTTGACTTACAATTCCAAAATTAATTAATTAATAAATTTTACGAGTTTGCGTTTTTATAACATAGTTTCTTTATGACATAAACATATGTGTATTATCTCAAAGCTATGCCATAGCAGTTCAAGAGGTATTTTTTATGGAAATAATACATACTGGAATAAAATAAAGCATTTTAAACCTATATTTATATCACGTTTGTTTATTTTATTTTCTTAACCTAAGACGCAATATTTCCAATCCAGGGAGTTTGTATACACCCAGTATACTACAGGACAGATATAAGTGAATAAGTGTCACCTACTTAAACGTTACTAGAAGATCTTCGTCCAGGACTATCTCAGAAGTTTGAGGATTTTGAGCTGTTCCCAAAGCTTTTCTTCTAATTTTACAAAGATTTGTCTTTACATTGGTGTATTTTGGCACTTCAATGGCCAAGTCACCTTTATTCACAAGATGGCCGAATTCTTCTTTAAATATCTTATTAACGGGTGTTGTCATATCCTCTCTTGCTCTTCTTTGGCAGGCATGCTGGGCCATAGCAACCTCTATCTCAGCCGTATTTTGGACACATTGGTGAGGTGATGTGTTCAGCACAGTGTGGTCTTGTAAAGTCTTCATCCTCCCTTTGCACCTACAATAGAGAGGAATCGTTAATCGTTAATAGAATGTTCAGGGTGCCTGGAAAATATTGAAAAGAAAACTCAAGATTTTATATACACTCGTTGAAAGTAAACGAAATCTGTTACAAGCCTCGCCACACACATTTCCCCCCAATAATGACTGATACAGTATCACTATTGTGAAACCCAAATCATGCAATTAAGCTAATTTCCTTAAAGGGTAGTATCATTTCCTTAGATCTTGGTGAAACCTACTTCGGAAAAGGTATTTAAGCCATTCTAAGTTTAAAAAATAGCTCATTCCCTAAATGGGAAATTCGCTAATAGCTTGTCAAACAAAAATTGTATTACTCAGAGAAATGCCTAAATAAAACTTTGGTATCATCACGCCTCATACGGTAACTGCTAGGCCAACTCCCTTCTATGAACAATTCGCAAACATATCTTAGTAAAATTAGCCTATACTTCGACCCTTAAAATGTACCCCCAGTACCCGTACACTCTAAAATGTAGTTTGTACTACTTTCAATATATTACGTAAAGTCACAAAAAAGTTAGTTTTATATCGTAGACCTAACTGCTACAAAATATTCCATTTTATTTTAAGTATTCAAATAAAATAAACACTTTTGCATTACACGGCATTACTTTGCTACCTTAAAGGCGTATTAGATTCTAGTATTGACATAAAACATTGAACAATGTTATCCCATTAAAAAACTACACCTATGGAAAAAGGTCATTTGTGTTTTAAACTTCGTATGGTATAAATTAATTTACTTACTTGTACCTTTCTGCCTTCACACACCTCCAGACAATGTGATCCTGCTTCCTTTCATATATACGGTAACGGTAGCCGTCATAAATTAAAGAGGGTTTGCCCTTTTTCGTATTCACTAACGTCGCGAACATTTTCCGGAACGTTGCCACAACCGCCGTAAGAACACACAACACCGACTTCTATCACAAGTAGAAAACGAATATTTACCAGCAGTCCTAAACTTGGATTTTGAGCGTTGTAAATAAGTGGATAGTTACAAATGACCGTAGATCATTCTGAGTGCACCGACACGTTCCCACCCTCCTGGAGCAATTCAATATTGGGATATTCGGACAAAATATGTACGGTAGGAGATCATTGATTTCAAGCACTCCTTAACCCTTTAACGTCTTAAAGATATAAGAATAGTTAAGCTAAATATTGCAGCCACCTTCTTAAAAATTATTATTAGGGCTTGCAGTTAGACGAATGAGTTCAGTATCCTTCCTAATGTTCTTCTATCAGGCCCCTATAGCAGCGCTGTCATCCCATGACCTGATAACCCATGACACTCTCAGAACTACTGACTGGGTCACAGCATTATCACATAGTTTCAACATTAGTGATTTATGAAATGTGAACCCCGAATTTCATTGCATCCTAACAAACATACAAGTGTCAAAATGTATTGTATACATTATTTTATACTTAAGGATTCTTATCCTAGGATTAGGCATGTTAGAGATGAGTCAGTTGTGAAAAATTATAAACATCAACACACTCAAAGCACGGTGAAAAGCGAGAGTGCAGGACGAGTGAGTAGCACACATATTATAATTTATTCGTAATTTTTACTGTGTAATATGAGAAACGGCCAAGACATTTAATAGGCCTACTTAATACTTTAATACTTTCTTATTATATGGCGACCATACAAAGTAGGTATTTCAAGCCAAGTACGAATGGAGATGAGTGGCGCGATCTTGTAGTCTTGTTAGTGACTAAGGCCGACATACCTTAGACACAGCTGTTAATTAATAGCCCATACAGCTAATGGCAACTAAGGGACCTACAGCTTATAGTGGAATCCGAACCACATTTTAGCCTTGGTATATACGAATTGGTCTAATTATCAGAATAGTACTGCGGATAGTCGTAGTACTCACTAGTGCGGACGTTAATCCACACCAGGGTGTATCGCATCCATAGTGCATGCCTATAAATATCCACAATTCTTGACTTCCTAGTAGCTGGATTACAGGACGACGCCACCTTTCCCAGAAATAATACTTAACGGTGGAACACTTAACAGATTCAAAACTATAGGAGGGGAAATAATGGTGACTGTGGTGGAAGGTAAGCCTTTTGAATTTGAGTGACTACATCATTATCCTTAAACTTATTAGCAAACTAACTGCAGATTGTTCTTTAGGAATCTTTTGCACGTCTCCCGTTTTATTTTTATTTTTTTGTAAATTAGTGCTATGCGATAAAACTAATGATAAAAATTAGCGTATATTAACACTTTTTTCAACATAAAAAAGGTAAACAATTTTAAAAGCAAGACCTACAATATTATTTTACAAAAGTTGTGACAAGATATTTCAAATCGGGTTGCAAATGGGGCTAAAACAGATTTGATCCTGAGAACAGTCAGTAGCCTTTTGATGGTTCAAAACTGGACGCCCTGATCATCGGGGCTTCAAATAAACTAGCAGCAAACCCGGCTTTGCCCAGGTAAAATTATAATACCTTGTGTACAATAAGGTGTTATTGAAATTATTTTTTTCTTTTTAGAGAGTTTCCCATATAGGGAATAAGCTATTACCGTAGATCTCATGGAAACCCCCAGACCCGGAGCCGATTTACTTTTTCGTTTTGAGGTCCCCAGGAGCCAAAAACATGATTCCAAACATGAGCCAAAACACCCTACGTTCAAATTCATATGCATACATAAACACAAACATACATATGTATATATATAATAAATATGATGGTGATTAGGGCTACTACTACATAAATAATCGAAAACATTATAAAAAACATTAGTACCCTTTTAAATTCATTTTAATTAACAAACGACATGTTTCAACACTCAAGTCATAGCATAGACAAAAAGAATGAAATATAGACTGTCAGCCGTGCTGCGGTTACCGCAGGTTCCGGCGCACACCGCTGTAGTTTACGTAGCGCGTACGCCGTAACTACCATGGTGCTCCAAGCGGTGTGCGCCAGAACCTATGGTAACCGCAGCACAGCTGACGGTCTATATTTAATTCTTTTTGTCTATGGTCATAGTCATGTTTACATTTACAAATACAATAACAAAAATAATGAAAGGAATAAATATAGTCATATGTTAAGCTAACTTAGAATTTAGAGGATCTTGATTTATTCTTTGTTTAATTTTGCCTATATTATATAATATTTCTGTTTTATTGCAACTGTAGGATTTTGTCAAATATCGGATTTGTTTTATTGATGTTCATGGTATTCAATAAGTTTTGATGGTATCTTTTGTAATTTGTGTATATATGAAAATCTTCTTTGCCATTTAATTTTGTTTTATTTCTTTCATATTCTAGAATTTCTAAATTTTCATTTATGTTTTCGTATTTATGTCGAGTTTCGATTAGGTGCTCTGCAAAATTTGATTTCATTGCAGTTTTGTTACCTGATTTTAACGCTTGTATATGTTCCTGGAACTTTTTCTTAAAGCTACGACTTGTTTTGGCCAATGTAGGATTTATTGCAGGAATATTTAATTTGATAAATGCCTGATTTGTTTATATCTTTAACTTGGTTGTTATGTGCTTCATTAGAAATTTTGTTTTTTATCATCAGAAAGCAGATAGTTATTATAGTTATAGATCAGTTATGCAGACTAAGCGAATTTCAACTTGTCTGATTACATTTTTACTATATTTATACCCAATTTAAATAACAGATTTAATGAGTGCTTAGGTTTGCTGCTTTAGGGAAGGTAAAAAGTGTTTTTTTGACCATGCGTCAATAGTATACGATGAAATAAATAAATTTTCCAATTTTTATCCATAGGCTATATATCCATAAACAAGTAAACTACAACAGTTTTCATTTTCTCCATAAGAATAACATAGGAATTTTTAATTACACTATTTTTGAATTTTCTCCGTGACCGTTAAGCATACAACAGCGCTTCAATATACTAAATTATTTCTTTTTTTTAAGCTCTACAAAACAGGTTAAAAAGAAATTGCAAAATGTTTTTAGGGTCAAAAATGGGAAAACCCAGTTTTTACCCCATAAAACCCCTCATAAACCCTCGTTCCCATGGTCCGATGATGCTGGTTCGCAAACTCGTTCGATGAAACGTAGGTTTACATGTTTGTACCAAATTTCATCAAAATCGGATCATTTTTGCTAAGTTATCGCGCTAACGAACACATGTATATGTGAATTAGAACGGATGGTGTTTTTGGCTTCTGGGGACCTCAAAACAAAAAATTAAATTGGTCCCGGGTCCAGGTCTTACCATGAGTATTATGGTATAATAGCTTATTCCCTATATGAGAAATTTGCTAAATATTCCCTATTTAAATTTTGAAGCCCGTTTATGTCTAGTTTATGTTGGTGAAACCGGTTGCCAGAGTCGACGAAATTTCGTTTATATTATTTTAGGGTTCTAGGCCTAATTTCATGATTTTCTCTTTATTGTTATTGTTTATGATAAGATCATTTTAGTGAATTTCCCATATAGGAAATAAGCTAAACCGTAGTACTCATGGTAAGACTTGGACCCGGGACCGTATTACTTCTTCGTTTTGAGGTCCCTAGAAGCCAAAAACACCATCCGTTCAAATTCATATATACACATATGTGTCCGTTAGCGCGATAACTCGAGCAAAAATTATCCGATTTTGATGAAATTTGGTATAAACATGTAAACCTACATTTATTTGAACGAGTTCGCAAACCAGCATGATCGGACTATGGGAACGGGGTTTTATGGGGTCAAAATAGGTTTTTCCCAGTTTTGACCCTAAAAAAAAAATTTTACAATGCCTTGTAAGCTCCAAACCATTTTGTAGAGCTTAAAAAAAACAATTCATTTAGTATATTGAAGCGTTGTTTTGCGCCTAATGGTTACGGAGACAAAAAATTGTAAATTTAAAATTCCCATTTTATTGTTATGGAGAATAAGTCAACTGTTGTAGTTTGCTTGTTTGTGAACATATTTTAATCGAATTTGGAAAATACTTTCATTTCTTA